GCTTTGCAGAAGTGGATGGGGCCAGGAGTCACATCACCCCCTTTGCAGGCCACACCGAGGCCTGCCTCCCTAAAGTCAGAGCCCCGATGGGAGCAGTTATGCGACATGCATAGACACACTTGACTCCTTTAGGGCCAGATCCTGCAGCCTCGGGAAGGCCTTGGAGCCAGGGCAGCTCTGAAGCAGAGAGAAGAACCCAGCCACAGGAGAGTTAGGGGGCTGGCCTATGTGCACCGAGCACTAGTCCACGGTGACTCTCCCCGCACTGCCTGGCTAGGGGCTTGGTGAGCCGAGCCAGGGTGTGGCAAGATGATCCATGACTCCGGTGAATCCTGCAGCCACAGGGTGAGTGCAGGAACCACAGATGCGAATGCAGCCCTGAGGGTGCAAAGCTTCACTCCTGCAGGGAACCCTGGGGCCCGCCTGCTTGTACAGGGGTCACACATGGCTCAGGCCTGGCCCCCACATCTTCAGCTGCATGTCCGGTGAGTCAGCCCGTTCCTCTCTTTCTGGGAAGCTAGATGAGGAAAAAAGGGTGCCCTGCCCACTTGCACTTTCATCTCTCCCCAGCTTCCCAGCTCACAGGGAGGGAAGCAGTTCTCACCCAGGTGCTTCACGCCCATGTGACATTTCACATTTCAGGGCATGTGGCCTTTGCTGGCAGGTGGAGGTTAGCCAGATCTAGTGTCTTTCCAAGAGTTTCTGAGCCCACCTTCGTTCTATTGCAGCCCATAGGCTCTGGGCGTTCCCACCGCGGGTAAATCCAGCCTGCCTGTGACAAACAACGCAGTTGGGCAGCGGGACAGGTTTCAGAGCTCGCTGGCCAGAGATCTGGCTCCTGCCGTAGTCTGTTTCGTTGGCATCCAGGGAAAACTGGAGCTCTGAACTGGGCACTTCTGAAGAGCTGCTTCCCCCTGTTGGGGTTACTAGGCCTCAACGAACCCCACTGTTGCTGTCCTTGGGCCCCTGTGCCGGCAACACCCCTGCTCCCAACCAGCACTTCAAGGATTAAAAAGCTTGTGGCCATACAGGCCTTGCCAAATGCTTTGTCCCGCCCAGGGGTGGGAAACCACCTGCTAATGAGGGCAAAAAACCACTTCAGAGCAGCGATCGGCTAGGCCCAAAAGTCAAGCCATTCCCAATGAGAGTTTCCGCTGCCCTCGGCACCGGCTCTCCCCTGACTTCACTGTCTTTGACAGTAGATGCTGCTGTCATTGCAATCAGCGAGGAGGGGAAGCAGAACCGGCTTCCTAATCCCCAGCATCACTGGCTCAGCACAGTAACTAACAAACGAACTGAATGCCCAGGGCCAGAGGCTCCGCTGGTACCACTTGACATCCCTTCACTGAAGTCACTGACTGACGACTTCAACAGCTGAAGCCCTGGCCCACAAACGCTAATGTCACGTCACTTGGTTTGGGTCCATCAGCATCAGCATTACTCAGTTGTGTTACATTAGCAGCTGGAAGCTGTACCCAAGAACAGGGCCCCATTGTACTAGGCACTGCATGCTCCGCTAGTGAGAGAGAATCTTTGCCCTGCCGAGTTTACAATGTACATAGATAAGAGAGACCAAGCGTGGGAGAAGAGGAAGATTAGTATCCCCGTTTTTACGGACGGGGCACGGAGGAGCAGCGGTGCCCAGGATCACACAGGAAATCTCTGGCAGAGCCAGGAATTTATCCCCCTCTAGTACCTTAGCCACATGCTTTTAAGTTCAAAGCAGTAGCACATGGTGTGCTAATGTTATAACTACAGGCTCACTATCGGATATGTCCCCTATCAGGGGACTGTGTCTGGCAGAGGGATGGGACCAGATGTCTAGCAGGGCTTTTCTAGCGCTAAGGGCTGCGGTTCACCACTGAGCATCGGTCTGACAAAAAGGCCCACGAAGAATGGCCCATTAACTCCCTGCTGCCTGGACTTAGTGCATAGCATTTTTAAAAGGAATGTGAGCATGATTCAATAGAGGGTCAAAGCCACTGGGAGGGGCGAAGTGATTTCCATCGTGTGAAGCAGAATGCCGGCTCGGTCTCTGCACTGGGACCAGTATCATCGCTGGGGCTGGGGGTTTAGAAGGATATTCAGCCTAATTTCTGCATCGTTTATAAGTCGAGGTGTTAATACAGTGGTTAAAGGTCACCAATTGCTTGGTGCCTTGTGCTCAACTTCTGTCTCGTCAGGATACTGGTTTGTCAGTTACAATCAAGGATGCCAGGAGAGCTGTTAAAGGTCACCACTGTTTCAGTGCTTGCAGAGAGGTGCCACTACAGGGCTCTGTAACCTTTAGTTAAACTGACTGTAAACGAGACGGGAACTTCAATCAGAACCAACTGGAATTACGTTGATTCCACCGCAGTAACGCTATGCCACAGAGACGCGCTAAACTGCATTCAAATATGACTGTATTTGCATATTCCCCAGAATGCACAAGGGGAAAATATTTGATATGCTACGTTAATGCCACACGTTTGTTGACCCCTGTAGATTGCCTGCTCTGATCACCAGGGGAAAGGAGAGTAGTAAATCTATCTTAGGTGTGCATATTTGTGCATCCCGATTCCAGCGCACAATGGTTGCAATTGCAATAGCACTCAGCAAATGAACGCACGTCTTTGGCACCTGCAAACGCGGTGCACAGGTCTGAACCTCTGGGCCATGGCCCCTTGCTAACTCATGGGCAGCTCAAAGGCAGGTAAGTGTTTCCTTAGCTTCCTATAGGGCGAAGCGTACAGCCTAATCTATGTAATGGCCTTTTAAGTTTGCACCGCCCCTGAAACATTTCCCTCCAGCCGCAATCCAGAAACTAGCCTACTCCTTCGATGGTGGAGAGAGACAATGAAGTACAAAACAAGTTGTCCCAGCTGAGGAATGCAGAGTTTTACCTGTATCAACATCAAACCTTCGCAGGGCAAATCCTGACTCTGCCCACCTGGGCCCACAGAGCTCCAGGGGCAGGGGAGCTGGTGGGGTTCTGCTGGTTGGGAATAAGTAGGATTTACAAAACTTGGGAGAGGGGTTGTACCTCCAGCAGCCCACAATGCACCTCAGGGCTTTTCAAACGGCCAAGCATGCGCGTGCGCAGGGGAGGTGAACAGGCCTGAGGCTCTCGGAGCAGCCTGGAGTCCAGAGCTCCCCACTCCGTGCACTGCCTGGTCCTTCCAGCTGTGCTCTGGGTTCAGGTTTGTCACGAAGGGAACTATTGCATGGGGCAAATCAACACCATTTTTAGTCTCTGCAGAGCCACTTGTCATCACCTTCGCATCCGAGCGCCTTTGGTAATGCAAACACGCTGGCACACGTGAAATGTAGCTCCTGTGTTTATTTTAACCCCAAAGCCGTCCTAGTGGACAGGACAGTAAAGTCTGCGTTGGGTGGGTTTGGTTTGTGTGTTACAATGTGTCAGGAAAAAATACCCCAAACCCAAACCCAACCCTAAGCCCGTTCTTTAGGTGAAAGTTTAAAAAGATGTTTGCTCCAGTATAAAAATACTCCCAGCCCTTTAATAATATGATTGGGTTATTATAGTGATAGGAAACTGCAGGGGGCTGCAGGCTTCCTGACCTTCAACAGCCAGCAGGAGACATCTAGAAGGAAAACAATAATCCCTGAATCTGATCAGTAGTAGATCTCAAAGCACTTTACAAAGGAAATCAATATCATTATACCCATTTTACAGATGGGGAAACTGAGGCACAGATCAGCAAAAGGTGTTACCCATAGGCACCCAGCGGAAGAGCCAGGACTAGAACCCATATCTCTTCTGAGTCCCACTTCAGTGCTCTTCTCACTAGGCAACACTGCCTCCCAAAGTTACCTTCCAAACTATCAAAGCAGTGCATGGAGGTTTGTGCCACACGATTTCTGTTACAGGGGAAGGGCTTTAAAAGGGTACTACGTTACACAGAAACTATCTACACAGGCACACATGTTGCACAGCACAGCTAGTCGAGCACTCTTGAACCCAGGCCTTGTCGACGCCGGGATTTCAGCCATCGGTGGAAGGCCCCAGGCTCCCTTGTCCCGGGCGCTGCATGATTTGAACAGTTTACGTGCGGGTAAGCTGTGCTAGTGGGCCAATCAGAGCCCTGCAGTAGTGCAGCGGCCCCAGTGGCTGGAATCCCAGCGGAGACGAGGCCGGACTTGCTTTCTGGGTGGCAGTACCATTTTTGAGGCGCCTAAGGGCAGAGTCCGGAATTCTCTCCTCCTTTGCTGGACTGCGGGTTTCTCTACGCTGGAAATGCTGCTGTGTAGACACTCATGACAGCGGTGGGAGGGGTTCTCCCATCAGCAAAGTTAATCCACTGCCCCGAGCGGTGGTAGCGAGGCGGAGGGAGGAACCCTTCCATTGACCTAGTGCTGTCCACACCAGGGCCTGGGGCGCTTTTACTACGTTGCGAAGGGGTGTGGATTTTTCACACCGTGAGCGACACAGCTGGGTCCATTTAACTTTTGAGTGTAGACCCGGCCTAAGGCAAGGCAGCTGTAGTGTGTGTGTGTGTGTGTCCACCGTGAAAGGGTTAATTTGTACACGGCCCTGGTTTCCCCAAGCAGCAAGCACCAGTGTCTGGGGTCCTCAGGGTGTCGTCAGCCAGGGTGGGTTCCTTGTGTTACTACATTGGTTAGTGAAGCGAGGAAATTCCTAGATCCAGACAGGGCAGGCGTTAGCCCTCTGCAGTTCTGCAGAAATTCTCCCTCTTAATAAACTCTCCTTATTTTGCTAATTTGTCTCTGGACTCTCCAATATTCCAAGCACTAGAGGAGCCAGTGACTCCACGTAACCCGTTAGTGGGGCCCCACCCTAACTCCTGGGCTTAGCACATGGGCATTCTGGGCCAGACGCTCAGCCCTCTGCCTGGCGGGCATGGCGCCCGCAGAACAAGCCGTGCCCCTGGGGACTCCCCTGACCCTGGAGAATCCCAGGGTGGTGGAAGAAGGGCAAAGCCTGTTCTCAGTCACCATCAGGGCAGGCTGGCAGCAGGAGGGGCTGTTGCCAAGTGGCAGTCCCTGGGCAGCGTAACAGGATCGAGAGGGCCGTTCCTGCTGGCACTGTTTTTGCTCGGGGCTGAAAGGGCCCTGCTCAGCCCAAGGATGGAGGAGGTGTACGGGTGGCTTCGAGTCACCTTTCTCCCCTTGCCCCCAGGCCCTGCACTGAGTGCAAGGCTATCTGGCTCCAAATCGGCTCTACCTGCTGTGCATTCAGCCCCCATTGGCGTGCTCCATCCATCCACGGCACTGCCTCAGGTTCCAGCCCTCTCCTTTTGCCCCTCCAGAGACTGTGGCCTGCGCCCTCCAGCCTGACTCAGAAATCTGGCCAACGTTTGCCTTGTTTTGCTACCCCCGAGCTGTTATACCCTGGGCAGCTCAGGCTGATAATCAGAGCTCCAAGGGCCCGCCCAGGAAACCCTCACCGTCTCAACAGGAACAAACAGGCAGCGTTATCCCGTGAAATGTGCATTCTCAGGCAATAAAAACCATCCTGTTTCTAGGTATCTCCGTTACTGCATTGTTAGCCTGCTGGCTGGGACAGATGCAGAAATTCAGAACAACAGGATTAAAATACATAGGGGAGATTCCTCTTTATTAAGGAAAGGGGCAGCTGAGTTAACTAGGTTTCTGTGGCCAGCTTCACTGGACCCCGCATGAAGACTCAGGCAAGAGAGGCACCCGACCTGGGTGTCTGTGCCCCCTAGAATGGGCACAACCCCTAAGCAATGCCAAACCCTGGTGGGCACCCATTAGAATTACTCAGTTCTTTTGCCTGTAGTTTTCAGGTCACCATAGGTCCACCGAGCCCAGCGAACTGCCTCGGACCGTGCCCAGCACCAGCTGCTTCAGAGGAGTTCTGCAGAAGGAGCAAGGGGATACGTGGCCCGCAGGGAAAGTTTAACTCCCGTTAGTGACAGGTTGGCCTGAGACCTGAGGCAGGAGGGTTTAGAGCAGGTTGATGTTTTTAGTATTTACTGTTGTGGTGTTGGATGTTCTTGTTGTGCCTCGCCATGTGGCTGAGATCTGAGACAGCTGGAGGTCTCGGTGGAGGAGCACAGACCTTCCCAGGAAGGGGGCAGCTATACATAAGGCGTTATAAGTCTGTTACGTATATCTCCAACCCATTGGGAGCTGCCAGGGTAGCTGTGTTCCTAGGGTCCCCTTCCCACATTTCGCTGATACTTTCATACAAGTTCTCGGTGGGGCAGTTCTTGGTAGACTTGTCCCTTCTCTTGGGCTTTTTCCATTTGACATCTACTGCCTCGTAGGCCGGTTCTGGGGCTGGGTTCCTGCCATGCTCAGTCCAGGATCCATCCTTGATAGACTCATAGCAGGGCTCAGTGAGTAAGACTCGGCCCGGTGTGGACTGATACCCCACCCTGACATGTCTGAGATGGGCGGCTGGCCACCCCTGTTCTCCTTGGCCCGTCTCCCCAGTGTCCATTCCTTCAGAGGGGGACAGAGCAGAGCCTTGGTGTTTCTTCTTCTTTCCAGCTTTGCACACAGTCGAGTACATTTCTTCTACCTGCAAAAGTACACCTGTGGTTACTGGGAATTCCTGTACAGCAGTGGGCCCACAAAACCCGCCCGTGTATTCCTGCCTGTGACTCACGCTCTGCCCACTTCCTTTATAAAGTCACCGTATCCCACCAACAGAATGAAGGGCATCCAGGCATTTACCCAGCAAAGGTCAGTCTAGACCAGGGGGTAACGGAGGCATGATACAGAAAAGGTCGAGAACGACTGATCTAGATGCAATGGGCCAAATTCAACCCTGGAGCAGCAGAGCTGTGCCCATTATGCCAGGCCTGGTTTCGCCCCAAGACCCAGATTTCAAAGAGGTGCTACTTCTACCCGACCTGCTAGCAGGATTAACAGCGGCCCAAAGCACTTCCTGAGTCATCAGCCCCTGACCTCTGTGACAGGGTATTATGTCAAAGCGCATTAACCGGAGGGTGATAGCCTAGTACTAATTCAGCAGACGGCGCGCCCAGCTCCCCAGGACACCTGAAGCGAGGGGGCGGAGATGGGAAAAGATGCCCCCATCTGTCCCAGCCCAGATTTGTTACAGGGAATGCTGGGCAGCCGTTTCAGTCACCCTGTTCCTACCTGGGATGATCCTGGGAATTCACTTCCTTTGATTTGCCTCCCACCCTTCCCTCCGGGGAAACATCTGATCCACGAGAAACACAAGGAGCCTCCTCCCAGAAGCCTTTAGCTGTGGTGATGGACTGACTCAGCTCCCGCTATAAAGCCCTGCACAAAGTGCCCAGTGCTTCTCAGTGCCCACCACAGACCCTCCTAGGAAGGCTCCTGGTTTTCCCATTAGGACACCATCTACCGGTGAGGTTTTCAGGGTCTGAACTCGGCTAACAACCCCCTTCTCCTTTCACTATCTTCCTCTTACTCCGTGGGCAAACCCACAAAGCTCAGATCCTAGAGGGATCCATTTCAGAGTCTTGTCCTTGTGATTATTCCTATTCCTCTACTGCAGGAGGGCCCGGCAGCTCCCCTCGGGGATCAGGGCCCCACAGTGCTAGCAGCTGCTCAGACGCACGCTAAAAAGACAGTCCCTGCCCATAGAAGCCCATGATCTAGGTTATAGCAAGAGAGCAACGTGCCACGGGGAGATGAGACGAATGGGGTGGGGGGGATGTAACAGCAAAGTGAGTAAATTACAGCACAAAAAGCCGAGGACCTGGAACGTCCGCTGCCGAGCTGCGGTCAGTGGCAAGTACGTTGCAGGCGTCATGGCAGCAGCACAAGGGGCCGGGGGCTCTCTGCACTCCAGCCTGACAGGTCCTAGCAATGAGACTTTGGCACATGGCAATCCAGGCAGGTGCAGCATCCTCGGTGGAGGGCTGGTGGCCGTGGAACCCCCCCGCCCACTGGGCAGCAGCTCAGCCCACGTCTGGCCACACTCCAGTCTCACTTTGGGGAGGCGTTTTTCTGAAGGGGCTGGGTCTTTGGGACAGAGGGTCTGAGCAGGGAGGAGCTCTGCTGCCGTTGGGGGGATCCTTGCACGTATAATCACTTGTGTACGGCACGGCCTAGCGCCGCACGGCAGGTGGGTGTAGGAACACACACGATGGTGCGTTACACCTTCAAACGCCACACCTACAAGTTCAGCATCTGCCCAGGCCCAAGCGAGCTACTGCACCGGCAGAATAGGCCCCTCTTGGCACAGTTCCCCCGGTGTGGCATGGCCAAGGGAAGGCCCAGGCCTCCCTAACGGGATGGCCGTGCTGCAGCTGGGAACGTGCCACCCAGCCAGGGTCGACAGCCAGGTGCTAGCACGTGAAAAAGAGCTGGGCGGCAGAGGCTCAGACTAGCCCCCCGAAGCTCCCCCCTCGGTGCAAACTCGCGTGGCTAGCCCACGCCGCTGCCAAAGTGCCCACACTGCTAGTTATTAGTACTCAGCGTCAGCCCCGCCACCGGCAGTCTGGCTCCCAGCTCCCAGCTGCAGTGTGGACATACCCAGAGTGTCTGCCCAGGCACCTTTGGCCCCAAAGCCAGGGAGTGGGAGCTGCTGTTTATATTGTTATTCAGCTGTGGGGCTCACTCAGCGAACGTCACTGGCTCTGGACGAGCGGGAGATGGAGGAGGAGATGTTGCTGGCACTCACATCCTCCCACCGCCCCCGCCGCTGGGGCTTGGGACGGTAACAAACAGCCTTTGGCTTTCTCTGAAGCTGTTAATGCTCCTTTGCCTTCTGGTCCCTGTAAATGCACAATCTTCGCCAGGGCCGGCTGGAGATGCTGCCACGGACCAGCCAGCAACAGTCCAGGAAACCCCGGCGGACGCTGGAGCCAGAAAGCTGGCGAGACAGGAGGGATTTGAAAAATAACACAGTGCGGAGACAGAAGGACTGGCAATCTGCCGCTGAATTCCCTCTGCCTCGACACGCTTAGGGGCTCGGTTCCTCCTGTTTGGACCCCGGTCTGGCCTCTTGCAAACTGAACCGAGCCGGCCTCCCGCCTGCCTTCTCTCCTCCTCCTGCGGCGCTCTATCCCAGCCCAAGTCCAGGTGTAGCTAGCTGCTCCTCTGGGCCCAAGTCTGCAATCAGAGATCCGCCCCCTCCTGCGGAGAAGCCACCTTTACCCACTGGCCCCTCTGGCAGGCTGCATGAGAGACTTAAAATCCCGTGACTCCAGCATTCCTGAGTTCTTAGTTCCTTGGGGGTAAAAGTTCAAACTGGTGCCTGCTTGTGTCATTGCCCGGAGCTCACCAGCTTCCCACAGTTCCACCGTTGTCTGCGGTGGAAACAATCTACCTGTCTTCTCCCTGCCAGGCTGCTGGCAGCTCTCAGCTGAGCCATGGCCAGGTCCGCGGCCATCACCCAAACTCACCCAGGGGAAGGAGCATTATCCAGATGGTGCCTGCGCTCTGAGACCACAAGGAAGGAGGAGGGAATTGGGCGAGGCTGGAAAAAGGCCTCTTGCATATCTGATATGCGCAGCCCTGCTAGGCAATCCCTCGCCATAAAAACAAACAGGGCAAATTCTGCTCTGCTCAAAGCACCTGCCACTCCACGAAAGTCACCAGCATTATTCTGGCTTACCCCTGCCCTGGCCGTGGCCCATTCTTTGCAGGGATCACCCTCTGCAAAACTTCAGACCTGGCGTAAATGGGAGACAAATCGACTGAAGTGAATAGATTTGCCTCCGTCCCGGGGACTGGCTTCTGAGAAGCCGGCCAGGCAGGCTCCCTGTGACCGGCTCCACTAGGGAGAACAAGCCAACCCACCTGTGCATAGTTAATTGGACAAGTCGCTGAGCTGCAGTTAGTTACAGAACACCGGGGTGCAAGGGCTCACAGGTGCCAGGCAGCCTTCCCACCGGCCCACCCAGAACAGGTGGAAGTGAGGGGCTAGCAGAACTCGACCCTAGCCCACAAGAATCCAGACTGGGGATGACGACTGGCCCCACCATACAATTTAAGCCAGAAGGACGCATAGGGAGTTGTCCAAGCAACTGAGAGACTTCCCAAGTGGCTACTGCTCCCCGATTCCAGCTCTGACCCATGGCTTAGACTTTGGCTCTGGCCACTAGATCAAACTGTCCCAGTCCCGACATTGGGCTGTATAAAGGGTTATGAGCGCTCAGTCGGGAGGCTCCAGGACAGAAGAAGCTCCGGGGGAGAGAGAAGCTACTCCCAGTGGTGCCACCCTGGAGAGCAGAGGCATCTGCTCAGATCCCCCCAGAATGCAAAGAGAGAAAGCTCCCAAGGAGAAAGACAAAGACTCCAGAGTAGCAGCCGTGTTAGTCTGTATCCGCAAAAAGAAGAACAGGAGGACTTGTGGCACCTTAGAGACTAACAAATTTATTAGAGCATAAGCTTTCGTGGACTATAGCCCACTTCTTCGGATGCATATAGAATGGAACATATATTGAGGAGATATATATACACACATACAGAGAGCATAAACA